GTTCTTCATTCCTTTTCATGGCTAAATAATATCCCATTGAATGGATATAAGTGTTATTTATCCATTTATCACTTGATGGATATTAGAGTTCTTTTTTTTTTTTTTCTTTTGGTGAGGAAGATTGGCCCTGAGCTAAAATCTGTTGCCAATCTTCCTTTTTTCACTTGAGGAAGATTGGCCCTGAGCTAACATCTGTGCCAGTCCTCCTCTACTTTGTATGTGGGACACCACCACAGCTTGGCTTGACGAGCAGTGTGTAGGTCCGGGCCCAGGATCTGAACCATTGAATTCTGGGCTGCCAGAGTGGAGCACAAACTTAACCACTAAGCCACCAGGCCAGCTCCTGGAGTTGTTTTTTGTCATTATGAATTATGCTGCCATGAACAGTCATGTAAGAGGTTTTGTGTAGACATATGTTTTCATTTCTCTTGAATATATACCTACGAGTTGAATTTCTGGGTCATATGGTAACTCTTTGTTTAGTCTTTTGAGAACTGTCAGACTATTTCCCAAAGCTGCTGCACCATTTGACATTCCCATCAGCAATGTATAAGGGTTCCAATTTCTCCACATCCTCGCCAACACTTGTACACTCGTATACCATCCCAGTAGATGTGAAGTGGATGAAGTGATATTGCATTCTGGTTTTGATTTGTATTTCCTTGATGACTAATGATGGTGGCTATTTGCATATTTTCTTTAGAGAATTGTCTATTCAGATCCTTTGCCCTTTTTAATTGAGTTTTTTTTTTATTATTGAGTTATAATAGTTGTTTGTTTTTTTTTAGGAAGATTGGCCCTGAGCTAACATCTGTTCCAATCTTCCTCTTTTTTTTTTCTTTTCTTTTTTCTACCCAAATCCCCAGTACATAGTTGTATATCCCAGTTGTAGGTCCTTCTAGTTCTTCTATGTGGGATGCCGCCACAGCATGGCTTAATGAGCTGTGAGTAGGTCCGCGCCCAGGATCTGAACCAGTGAACCCCAGGCCACTGAAGTGACATGCTCAAACTTTACCACTATGCCACTGGGCCAGCCCCAAATAGTTCTTTACATATTTTAGACATAAGTCCCTTATCAGATATATGATTTGCAAAATTTCTCTCCTGTTATTATATAGGCTGTCTTTTCACTTTCTTGATAGTGTCCCTTGAAGCATAAAAGTTTTAAATTTTGACAATGTCCAATTTATCTATTTTTTTTCTTTTGTTGCTTGTTCTTTTGGTGTCATATCTAAGAAACCATTGCTTAATACAAGGTCATAAAGATTTACACCTATGTTTTCTTGTAAGAGTGTTATACTTTTAGCTCTTACATATAAGTCTATGATCCATTTTGAGTTAATTCTTGTATATGGTGAGAGGTAGGAGTTCAACTTCATTCTTTTGCATGTGGATATCCTGTTATCCCAGCACCATTTGTTGAAAGACTATTCTTTCCCCTTTGAATGTCTGGGCACCTTTGTCAAAAACCAACTGACTATAAATATGAGGGTTTATTTCTGGCCTCTCAATTCTATTCTGTTTGATCTATATGTCTATCATTATGCTAGCACCACACCATTTCGATTACTGTAGCTTTGTAGCAAGTTTTGAAATTGGGATGTGTGTATCCTCCAACTTTGTTCTTCTCTTTCAAGATTGTTTTGCCTATCCTGGGTCACTTTTTTTTTTTTTTAACAAAAAAGAAATGAGTATATTTATCCACTGCCTTTAATCAGATTTAGTATGGTTCTTATGAACCTCTATAATGGAATTCTCAAAGGAAGCCATTTTTGGATGGGGTATTTGGGAAGACAAAAGAAAACACATTTTAATTCGGGAAGGGTACCATGATGCTTAAAACCTTTGGAATCTGACTTGTTTCAGAGGAACTGGAAGTTTGATTTTATTTCATAAATACTATTTGTTGTTTAACATCAGAAGACATGATTTGTAGGACTCAAGCAGCGATACAGAATTTTAGATCAGCAGCCATGTGACCTTTGAAATCAAGACAAAGCTGTGAGTTTCAGGAGCCCTAATTATGTTAACAAGTCAGCAAAATAAATAGATGTAGTTAATAGTATCTAGAGATCAAGCCTAGACCTTGCTTGAAATCTGTATTTTGAGTCAGAGTTGTATTAGTAATTATTTATATAGCATGTTCATTTGATGATTTTAAATTGTTTTCATAATATTTTTTGAAACGAATATTGATACCATTATTAAGTCCTTTGGTTTTTAATCTGCTTTTAAAAATTAAAGTCTTTAGTGAATTATTTATTTAAAAACAAAGAGTACTGGGAAATCCCTCCAAGTCCAAGGAGCATTTGTGGATATCTTGATTTGCCAACCAGTCCCACCATGTTGGTCATGGATCTGCTTTAAAAAATTGATGCCCAAAGACCTGCTACTCTTCACAGTCAACCAGGCCTTACTGTCTCCTTAAGGAGATAGTGAATTAGTGTGTGCACCTTACATAATTTTTAGATATGACTCCCTGTTTAACTATCAAAGAAAGCACCCCCCCGCCCCCCTCCCAAAAAAAGTCTGGTACTGATGTTTTACCTTTTCTACAGCATCTCTCTCGTCAGTCTGATCATGATATGTGGAGTACAATTACTGGTTGTGCTAGATCTACTTTTGCAGTTTTACATTTACACCATTCTAACAAGTTAGCATCCAGAGTGAGAGTGAGGTTCCGGCTCAATCTAGGGCATGATCCAATTCTGGTGCCTTATCAAAATGTAAAGATTTCAGATAGGTGCCCAAAAGATAACTTGGATGTGGTAACACCCGTGAGTCACAATGGAGATAGAAGAAATTGTCATTTTATGAAAGAGACACATTCTGGAAGGCCTCGCATATGTTTAAAAAATCACATAATTAAGCCATTTACCATATGTATCAGTCAGGATTCTGCCACAGAGACATGACCAGTAGGGTATATATATTTATTAAGAGATTTACTAAAAAGAATTGCCTTACACAATTATGGGGGCTTGCTAGGCAGGTCTGAAATCTGTAGGGCAGGCCAACAGGCTGGAAACTCCTGGACAGGAGCTGGTGCCACAGTGCACAGGAAGAATATCTTCTTCCTCAGGGGAATCTCAGTGTTATTTCTAAGGCCTTTCAACTGATTAGATGAGGTCCATTCAGATTATAGAGGATAATGTGTTTTACTTAAAGTCAACTGATTGCAGATGTTAATTACATCTACAAAATACCTTCACAGCAACACCTAGATAAGTGTTTGATTGAATTACTGGGTACCATAGCCTAGTCAAGTTGACACATAAAACTAACCATCGCACCATAGGACTGACAAAGCCTGCAGATATTTCTGTTTACCAACTAAACTGATACCATCCAGTGGCAGTAATGCAAGTTCATGATTCACTCAGCTTGCCAGTTTTGAAAATATGCAATTCTAGATTGCAGTTTTTTTTAAATTTTGGGATTTTCAATGTTTCACATTCTCCACATAAAACAAAGCTTTATTGATATTATTATTATTAATAGTATTTTCAGGGGGCCGGCCCCATGGCGTAGCAGTTAAGTGTGTGGGGCTCTGCTGCTGGCAGCACTGGTTCTGATCCTGGGGATGCACCCACGCACCGCTTGTCAGGCCATGCCATGGTGGTGCCCCACATAAAGTGGAGGAAGATGGGCACAGATGTTAGCTCAGGGCCAGTCTTCCTCAGCAAAAAAAAGAGGACGATTGGCATGGATGTTAGCTCAGGGCTGATCTTCCTCACAAAAAAAAAAAAGTTTATTAAAAAAATATTTTCATATCATACTACTTCAAAATTATATAATTAAAATGCACAGTACAAGAATTCTTCTGTCGGGTAACTCTTAAAATGTTGAGAGGTTAGAGGCTATGACTAATCTAATGTAATTATGTGGAGGATCTTCCAGTTTTAAGCCTTTGTAAGGAGAGTATCTCAGGTGAATATGCCTCTTTCTTTCAATCTCTCTCTTCAACTATCCTCTTTCAATATCCTAGTCCAGTTCCCATCCTCCTCCCTTGAGAATCTTTACTCCATTTGGAGGAGACATTTCCTTCCTTCCATTTCTTCTTGGATCTTGCAAACTTCAGTATCTCAGACTTGACCAGACTTTGGGGACTGCAGAGGGAAAGGTGAGGTCTAGTCCAGGAACAATGGGTGCACACCAGATCTGGTTCAGTTTTCCCCTAATGAGCCTAGTGACTTGATTTCCAGTTCCGCGAGAAGCATGTACACCACCCCCAAATTAGCATTAATTTTACTCAGTGACAACACATTCTCGCTCAAATGTAACTTTTCCCCCCAGCTTTATTTCATTAAGGAGCATTTGACTCCTTCCTGAATCTGGCTTGCAAGCATCGTGATATTAGCTGGCACTCTTAGTCAGCAAGCATCAAGTACGTCAACTCCAAATCTCTCTCCTAATATAATGGGGGGAGAGGGGCGTGTGGGTCGGTCTCAGGTCCTGCTATAGTAGACCCTTGATAAATGTTTCTTGAATTAAATGTAATCGACTTTCCTTTATGCGATGTGAAATCATGGATGGTCTTCTAATGGCGATTAAATTTCCATCCTGTGGCAATACAAAGTTTAGTTCCTCCAAATAAATAAACTTACATATTTCAAAATAGAAACTACATACTTCATAATGGAAATAATCTTGGATGGAAGAAACGCATAATTGGCTCTTAAATGAAATCATTGTTATTCGCAATGCAACATCATTATAGCACCTATTTCAATGTTCCGCGCATCAATCGATGCAGATAGAATATTGTTGTCTGAAAGGGTACCAATTTCGTGGTTTTCAAAAGGCAGTGAAGAGAGCGTCAGCCTTTCAAAGGAAAAATTGCATGAGATTCCCCCAAGACGCTGCCCACAAGCCACGCCTTACGTACCCGAGCGGCTCCACTCACGCCCGGCTTAGGTGAGGGGCAGTGAACCACATTTCCCAGCGGTCCCTGCGGTCTTCCGCGCCTGCGCACTGGCAGCCTCGGCAGGCGGGCGGAACTCCCGCGCTACCCAGCCGCTGGGTCTCAGCTTGCTTGTTCTCTGCCGCACGCATGGAGGGGGTCCCAGTGGTGACGCCCTGTAACGCGGGCCCTGCCAAGGCCGAGGGCGCCGCAGCCATGCCGCCCCCACCTCCCGTCTCCCCGCCTGCCCTCACCCCGGCGCCCTCAGCGGGTGAGGAGGGCCCGCCGCCTTTGCCTGAGGCGGGGGCTCCGGGCTGTTCGGGGTCCCGGCCCCCTGAGCTGGAGCCGGAGCGCAGCCTGGGCCGCTTGAGGGGCCGCTTCGAGGACGAGGACGAGGAGCTGGAGGACGATGAGGAGCTGGAGGACGAAGAGGAGGAGGAGGAGGAAGAGATGAGCCACTTCTCACTGAGGCTGGAGGGCGGCCGGCCGGACTCCGAGGACGAGGAGGAGGTATTTGTAGCCCCTGCCCGAACGTGCAGGGCCGAGGGGCTTCCGGGACGGAGCCGGCCTGCTTAGGAAGGGCCGGGCTGGGGCCCCAGCTCGCGGCTGCAGCCTTGGCACTGGCGTCGACCTCCACCCCTCCCTACCCTGCGTGCCTAGGCGTCTTGCGTGGACTGGACTTCTGTCCCGGCCCAATTCCCTGCGGACTCATCTTGTGAGGTTCCTGCAGATCGCTTAGGCTCTCCGGGTCCGTCCGACTCACTCGTTCTGTAAATAATTACGGAAGCTACTGCGTGCCAGGCGGGTAGGCGCTAAGGGTACCGTGCCCCTGCCTTTCAGGAGCTTCCAGTCGGACGGAGGAAACAGTCTATTTCTTCAGGGTGTTGAAAGGATGGCAAACCCTTGCCACCTAGTCAATATCTAATTTGGAAAAAAAAAATTTTTTTTTTAAATGTGGTAGCGAATACTTCCTCAATTTAGGTAATACACCTGCCAGTCAGAATTAATATAGTAAACTTAAACACTAATATCCGGAAAGTTTGCCCGTTTTGTAAGTAGTTTATAAAGTAAGATGCCGCTCATCTGGCGATATACAGTATATCCAAAAGAATGAGATGTTTTTGAAACATCAGTTTATATTGTTATTGTAACTTTCAGCGGTATTTTGAAGGGTTGGAGTTACTGTACCATGCTTCCATTGTTGCAAAGTAAGTTACACATTGTTTATAATGAAATTTGGGTATTACGGTTTAAGAATTTGAGAAGACAAGGACTTGTGTTTTAACACTATTTCCATCGCATTTGCAGCGCCTGATTAATCTCTCTGAGCTGACCCCGTACATCTTGTGTTCCATTTGCAAAGGTTACTTAATAGATGCAACTACCATTACAGAATGTCTTCATACATGTAAGCACAGAGTTCACATTTCCAAATAATATATTCAATTTTTGAAATGTGTTGAAAGCATCCTAATTTAAACATTTTCTTTTTCAACAGTTTGTAAAAGCTGCATTGTAAGACATTTTTACTATAGCAACAGATGTCCAAAATGCAACATAGTAGTACATCAGACACAACCACTCTATAACATAAGGTAAGAAGAATATATAAGTAAAATTTTTATTTTAGTATACTTTTTCTGAAAGCTTGAAGTTGTGTAGTTGGAAATAAATCCTTGACCTATTTCAAAATTAGAAGAAAGGGAACTGTATAATCTTTAAAGAAATACATGTGGAGCGCTTACTGTGTACCAGGCACTGTGATATCTGCTGGGGACTTAAAAAAAAAAAAAGCACAGGCCTCTTTTCTTGAGGATTTTAATTGCATCACTCAACTTAATGAGACTAGCTTAGGCTTGTCATTTTCTGTATATTTAGAATTCTGTTTTTTAAAAGTAATACCTGAAACAGCTGGCCTCTTTAGAAAAGCCTATCTGTCATAGGTCATTGTGGCTTATTAATCAAATTTTCAGTTCATACTTAGTTTCCTAAGGGAAGAAAAATACTGAAAGTGGATTGCTTTCATTCATTCAGCAAATACTATTACGTTTTTACTACCTTCATAGAAGTGTGCTTTGCATATGATACACAGAACTTCAAAATACAGTCTCTGCCCTCAAACTCACGTTCTTATCAAGAGACTAAAACCAGTACGTGTTGAAAAATTTAGCAAACTGTTCAAGAGTCTATGGTTGCTTATGATTACATATAATTACTTGAGGTTTTCTCAGGTGAGAACCATGAGTACTACCTAAAAGAAACTCATCTCTGAGAAAGGAGATAATCTACTCTCAAGAGAAAACAGTTACTTAGAAAGAGCATCACTCTGTACCAAAATGCATTTTCCTGAATTCTGAGGCATTCTCCATCCTTTCCTTTTATTAGGTTGGACCGACAATTACAAGACATAGTGTACAAATTAGTGATCAATCTAGAGGAAAGTAAGTTTATTTTATTACATAGTTGTGAATCCCAGAATCTCTGCTGACTCTACTAGTTACATTTTAAGTGTAATTTAGTCTGTGTTTTATCATTTTTTAGGAGAAAAAAAGCAAATGCATGATTTCTATAAAGAAAGAGGTCTAGAAGTACCTAAACCTGGTAAGTTTGGGTGTATACCATAATGTATTTATAGATTAAAGAATACTAACTTAATAAAATTTACTCCCTTTGAGGTTCTTTTTGGTGATAACTGGTTATTTTATGATCAAAGAGAGAAAGATTTTGAAGGTAATGATGTAGTGTAATCCAATTTAATTATTTATAACAATTAAAGAGTACAGGATCTGGAGCTAGATTGTCTAAGTTTGATCCTAGCTCTGCCACTTTACTAGCTGTATGACTTTGACAAATTATTTCAATGTCTTAGTTTCCTCATCTAGAAAGTAGGGATAATGATAGCGCTTCATAAAATTGTTGTAAGGATACACTGAGTAATACAAAGCACTTAAAGCAGTGCCTGGAACATAGTAACTGCTCAAATGTTAGTTTTTATGATGATGGTAATGTCATAGTATGGAAGTCAGATTTGTGTTTAAATCCTGGTTCTTCCACTTACTACGTGGGTGACTTTAGGCCAATTGCCTACTCTCACTAAACTGTAATCTCAGTTTCTTTACAGTTAAAAAAAAAAAAGTAGTGGTAGTACCTGTGTCATGGGATTATAATAAGGATTAAATGAGATGATGCCTGTAAAGTGCTGAGCATGAGCCCCCAGCATGTAGTATTGCTCGTTAAGGGTTATCTACAACTGTTTTTGCTGTTATGATGAGCCCTCTTTGTGGCCCTGATAAACCAGCCACACATGTATGCCTTTCCTTGTGGAGTGGTCCCCAGGCTTGCCTATACTTTTACTGGCTTTGACAGATTCGCTGATGTTATTAAAGGAGGGGAGATTGAGTGCTTTACGATCTTTTAAATAGTTGACATAGTTATAATATCTGTGTAATTATTTTTCAAAGATCTCAATTTATGAAAGTTTTATTCTAACTCAACTTTTTTGTTCGGCTATCAAATAGCTGTTCCACAGCCAGTCCCTTCAAACAAAGGAAGATCTAAGAAAGTCTTAGAATCGGTGTTTCGTATTCCACCTGAGCTTGATATGTCTTTATTACTAGAGTTCATTGGGTGAGTACCCTACACCTCTTCCTCTTAACCTTAAAATAAAGAATTTTTTAAGTCCCAGCAGTTATGAAGTCATCCTGAACTCGGGTAAGACCAAGTTTTTCTGATGTCCTTTTAAAAATTAATTATGGGGGCCGGCCCTGTGGCTTAGCAGTTGAGTGCGTGCACTCTGCTGCTGGCGGCCCGGGTTCGGATCCCGGGCGCGCACCGACGCACCGCTTCTCCAGCCATGCTGAGGCTGTGTCCCACATACAGCAACTAGAAGGATGTGCAGCTATGACATACAACTATCTACTGGGGCTTTGGGGGAAAAATAAATAAAATTATTAAAAAAATAATAATAATAAAAAAATAAGAATTAATTATGAAATATTTAAAACTTTGAAAAAAGTCTAAAGGATAGTACAATAACCACTTGTATCTCCATCATCTGGCTTAAATAAACGATGCTAATATGACAGAAGCCCCTTAGCTACCTCTTCGTGTTCACTCCACCTTCTCTTAGAGGTTAATAACCACTTTCCTAAAAGTAATGATTGTCATTCCCATGCATTTTTTTTATCTGTGTACCACCAGTATATCTGTTCCTAAGTAATATGTAGAATTGTTTTTGCCCATTTAAAACTTTAAATAGTATCATACTATAAGTGTTTTCCAACTTGCTTTTATCACTCACCATTGTGTGATTCATCCATGTTGAAATGTACAGCTCTAGTTCCTTCATTTTCACCATTGCCTGGTATTCCCTTAAAATAAATGTACCACAATTTATCTTTTCTTGTCCTGTTGAACATTTTGCTTGTTTCCAGTTTTTTACTATTATAAACAATGTTGCTTTAAACATTTTATGTCAAGACTATTTTACTTCTCAGTCACTTCCTCCTTATAACCCTAGGTTGCCTGTATCATTTATTTAGTATCTAGCTTGTGCTATGTTGTATTTATCTATGTATTCATCTTGTGTTCTCAACTGGTACTAAAGACCCCTAAGAGGCAAGAAACCTTTCTTATGTCCCCACAAAGCCCCCATAGTAGTAGTTGATGATAATGAAATAAAGATCTCTTTGGAGGAATGAGAAGAAACCATGTAATACCAAATTTTAAATGAATAATTTCTGTTACTAAAGAATGTGCTCCAACCTAAATGTCCAAAAGAGAACTGGTTAAATAATGTATATAGCACATGAATATGTGCTAATATGGAACGATCTCCAAAGTGTCTTAAGTGAAAAAAGCAAGATGCAGAAGAGAATATATAGCGTGTACCCATTTATATTTTTTTAAAAAAGAAGGTGGTGGAAAATATGTGCATATACGTAGTTTTTTACATGGACAGACGATTACTGAAAGGACGTATAAGAAAATCTTAATGGCAGTTGTCTCTGGAAAAGGACTGGAGACTATGAGTCTAGGATGGGTAGACTTTTCATTGTATTTGAATTTTTACCATGTAACTTGATTTTTAATAAGTCTAGTTAATTAAAAATTGAAAATTGAAAGGAATTTATGTTTCTAAAAAATTATTTTGGAGAGGGCCGGCCCCGTGACTTAGCGGTTAAGTGCACACGCTCTGCTACTGTCTGCCCGGGTTCGGATCCTGGGCGTGCACCGATGCACCACTTCTCCAGCCATGCTGAGGCCGCGTCCCACATACAGCAACTAGAAGGATGTGCAACTATGACATACAACTATCTACTGGGGCTTTGGAGAGAAAAAAAAAAGGAGGAGGATTGGCAATAGATGTTAGCTCAGAGCCAGTCTTCCTCAGCAAAAAGCGGAAGATTAGCATGGATGTTAGCTCAGGGCTGATCTTCCTCACACACACGCACAAAAAAATATTTTGGAGAAATGTAATCTTTTCCACTAATGCACAGTAGGAGCTGACAATCAGTTTTTTTAATACACTTTTTGAAAAGTGGCAGATGGCAATAATGCAAAGATAGCAAAGATGTGACAGGTGTCCCACCATTACGTCTTTGCCCACAGCAGAAATCAATAATTAATCATGGCCGGGTTTCCTTTTTTTTTTTTTTTTTTGTGAGGAAGATCAGCCCTGAGCTAACATCCAGGCCAATCCTCCTCTTTTTGCTGAGGAAGATGGGCCCTGGGCTAACATCTGTGCCTATCTTCCTTCACTTCACATGGGATGCCGCTGCAGCATGGCCTGACAAGCGGTGCGTTGGTGCACACCTGGGATCCGAACCCAGGCCGCCAGCAGCGGAGCACGCACACTTAACTGCTATGCCACTGGCCAGCCCGCATGCTTTCCTACTGTGTGAGACTTGACCACAGTGCTCAAGACAGTCATTACCACTTACCAAAGTTGTTACATTATTAACACGTTCCCTGCTGTGGAAAAAAGAGCCTTCACTTGGAATAAGGAGATCTAGATTTAAGTCCTAGCTCCTCTGTTATCTAGCTTTGTAAACTTGAACAAATTGCTTTTTGTTTGTTAGTAAGTTGTTTATTAAGGTTCTGCTATGTACCAGTGCAGCACTCTGCTAGCTGCTGGGAATATAGTTTGAATGTCAGCCATCGCCCTGGCCCTCTTGGAACTTCTAGTTTTAACTTCTCAGAGCATCAGCTTCCCTATCTGTAAAACGAGAGAATTGAACCTTATATGTTGATGATTATGGTGGGTAGTCTACCTCATAATATAGTCCTTTATCTGCTTTCAAATGGTTAACGGGAAGAAAGCTTCCAGTGTGGCAAGGAGTCCTTTTGAAAGAAAGCTTCTAGTGGCAGAGTCCTTTTGAAGTCCCCAGTCCCCAGAGTTAAATCCCCACATTTTCCCTATGTGAAGCTTTTGTATTACCACAAAAGTCAGGCTACTGAGGGTAACCCATAGGAAGTTCTTTCGTGGGAGATGAGTTTTAACCTGATGTAAGGACAAGGACAAATTTGGTCCACTGGTGACCCTGCTTGAATTGGAGGAGCAAAAATACTGAGGTCGGTTCAGCCTGTGGACAGTAATTTTTCAACCACTGGAATATGAAATTACATTTCCCCTCTGAATTGGGTATGCATCTTTTGTGATCTTAAGATAGTCTCGTACTTCTCCTTTTTGTTCTTCAGTTTCTGTGTGTAAAGTAGATTATAAAAAGAAATAACTTCAGACAGGCAGTATAGTGTGTATAGAAAGAGCATAGGCTTTGAAGAGTCTGACTTGATATGTAACCCTTGGGATGTAGCTTAACTTCTTTGATCATCCGTTTCCGTTTTTCTAAATGGGGGATTTTAATAGCAACTCACAGGATTGTTGTAAGAATCAACATATGGTATTCCTAACATGTCTAAACTATTATCAACTAGTGAATATTGAAATAATGTAGGGTCGTTCAAAAATAAAGGTTAGTTTGTGGTACTGTAATAGGTACGTCTGCCTCGTAAAGAAAATGGACTCGTGAGATAAGTGTGATATGACAAAAATTTAATGCTGTCTTAAGCTCAGTGGTGTTTAGTAAACTAGGGAGGTGATATCCCACTGTATACTGTGTTAGTCCAACTAGAGTATTATGTTCAGCTTTGAGTACTACATTTTAAGAGAGATGTTGGTAAACTGAGGTGTAACCAGAAAAGTAGAAGGTTTGAAAACCATGTCATAGGTGGTAGCAGAAGGAACAAAAATATTTAGTCCAAAGAAGAGAAAGCAATCATAAGCCCCTCAAGTTAATTTCAATCTTTAGAGGGTTATCACATAAAAGAAAGACTGGATCTAATTCACAAGAATACTGAAAGGCAAAACCAGGACCAGTCGTATAAGTTACAGGGAGAAACATATTTGATTCAGAGGAAGCAAGCAATTTCTAACAAAGTTGCCCACAAATGGAATGAACTGACTTTCAGTTAAGGAGCTCTCTGTCTCTTTAGGTATTCAAGTAGAGTCCATATATCGTGGATTCTATAGAGATAATTCTTGTAAAGAATAGGATATTTTATTTTATAATTCTAAGATTATGTTATAATCTTAGATTTATATTTTTATATAAAATGTATATATAAATTTATACTTTAATTTATTATATATACTATATAATGTAACATTATATTTCTCTTATACTTTTATCTAAGAATACTCTGTCTATGATGTAGTTGTGATCTTACCTATGTTTCACAACATGGTAGGAAAAAAGAACGTGGGCTTTGATGCTAGGTACACCTGAGTTTGAATCCCAGCTTTATCACTTACTAGCTCTGTGACTTTAAGCAAGTTATTAAACCTCTCTGAGCTTAATTTTCCTCATCTGTAGATTGGGGTTACTAATACCTGATTTGCAGGGCTTTGTGAGAACTAAATGAAAAACACGCTAATATAATGCTTGGTATATAGCAGATGCTCAACAAAGTTAGTGCTCCTTACTTCCTCATGATATAAAAAAGTAATTGATTTAATCAAGAAATCTACACTTCTAAGTGAAAGGCAAACTGAGTAAATCGTGCCCAGGTGATTATGCTACAAGTAAAACAACAGGAAACAGAGCAGCCTTCTTGTAAGAAATCTGTCTTGTAAAGGTTACTATAGAGAAAAAAACACATTAATTATGATAGGAAAAGAAAAGAAGTTTTACTTTAAGCTGGAAAATGTTAGAATGCCACATGTGGGGAAAATCTAAATATTAAGAATATACTTTTAACTCCTGGAAGTATACATACTATAAAACACTGGAGAAAACTGCCATTGCCTTACCACTAGGTGGCAGAAGTGACAATTTACTTCATTTGTTTAAACCCACGTGACCATGTTTAAAACTAAATTGATGTTCCTCAAATATTTATTTTCATCTCATTTTTTGTGTTATATGGTTAAACATATTTTAAAATATTTTATTAATTTTGCTTTCATTTTTCAGTGCTAATGAAGGCACAGGACATTTTAAGGTATTTACTTTTATTTTTCATTTACTTCACAAGAGGACCCTGTAGCACAGAAATTTGAGAGTCAGATTAGCAATCATATGAAGATTGTCTTCAATTACAATAAAGAGTGTTTTATGAATAAAAGTTGTTGAAATATAGAGTACATTTAATAATGCTTTCTTATATTGTAATAGGTTTATGAGAAAAGAGTTACTAAGTAGGGATTTGTTATTAATTCAGAACAGTGGTCTAAGGAAAAATAAGAGTAATTTTTAAAACTCTAAAACCAATTGCTATGTTAATTTGATGATAAAAAAATGTTTCAAAGCATTTTTTGCATAGTTGGCATTTAGAATTAAAAATGAGCTTAAAATTTTATTTGCATGTAACATTTTTGTCTCAAGTTAACCTGCCCTAACTTGTTACTTCAGTCATTTACTGAAATTTTAGAGGTAACAATGAACTCCTTTGTAACATAGTTAAGTTCAGAGTTGTCTTAAAGGCTCCAGTATCACAGGTGCCATTGCACACATTGTTGCTGCTATAGTATGAGTTATTCAGGGAAAGGTAACTTTTTTAAAAGGTATAAATCAGGCCTTACAGTTTCTTGGGATTGTAAATATATAAGGAAATAGGTAACTTTGATCCGTTTAGATTTTCAGTGACTTTGTCAAAGTCTATACTAAAATTTGGGTGAATTGTACCTGGTTGGATATACTTTTTGTTTTGTGAATACACTGGCTTAGAGGCAGGAATTAAAGCATAGGAATAGATGTGTACTTCTCTGGATGAAGTATATTATAGATGTTTCCCAGACATCAGTGTGATGGAGGGAATGCAATGTTAAGTTTGGTAACTTTGAACCTCTTCTAAGTTGTAAAATATCGAATTCATGGTGATTAACTTTAAGAAGTTCTTTTATAGTAGTGTGGTGGGTGAGAAAGTGGCATATAAGTTTCTATATGGGACAAGTACGGTGTCATATGCTGCTAGAGTTCGCTGAAGACATCTGTCCAATGACCTGTAGTAGCAGACAAGCCAACAGAGTATAAAAAACTCAGGAAGAAAGGACTAGAAATTAAATTGAAATATTAGCCTATTGCTTCCACAAAAGCACATACGCACCAAAATATTTACTGATCCTCACACATCAAAGAAATATGATGACCATACCACCTATGAAGTGTTCTTGCCAAAACAAAGAAATATGAAGATGATTACACTCCTAGATTTAATTATTAATTTACAGGAAATCCAGGGGACAAAGGAACATGTTAAGTGACACCGTAGGAATATAATAAGCCAAATCTAGACAGTGGAAAACTACAAGACAGACAAGTCCGTTTCTTCAACAAATGGAAAAAGGTGAAGAGGGAACATGTAGATAGAATGTATTGATTAAGAGAGACTCAAGGGACATCAACTAATTACAATGTATGGAGTTTATTTGGATTTGATTTGAAAAATAAGCTGTAAAAAATTTATGAGTTAATAGCCCCAAATTGGAAACAACCTAAATATCCATCAACTGATGAGTAGATAAGCAAAATATGGTATATTTTGTATATATCCACACAATGGAATATTATTTGGCAATAAAAAGGAATGAAGTACTGATACGTGCTACAACGTGAATGAATCTTGAAAACATAAGTTAAGTGAAAGAAGCCAGGCACAAAAGACCACGTATTTTGTGATTCCATTTATATGAAATGTCCAGAACAGAGAAATTCATAGATATGGATAATAGATTAGTGGTTGCCAGAGGCTCAGGAAAGGGGAAATTGGGAGTGACTGCTAATTGGTACAAGGTTTCTTTTTGGGTGATGAAAATGTTCTGAAATTAGTGGTGGTGGTTGCATAACTCTGTAAATATACTAAAAATCATTGAAATGTATACTTTACAATGGTGAATTTAGTGATATGTGAGTTATATCTCAATAAAGCTGTTAAGTTTTTAAAAGATAACTAAGCCAATAGCTGATAGAAACTTGGAATAGGGCCGGCCCCATGGCTTAGCGGTTAAGTGCGTGCGCTCCGGTACTGGCGGCCCTGGTTCAGATCCCGGGCGCGCACCGAGACGCACTGCTTCTCCGGCCATGCTGAGGCTGCGTCCCACATACAGCAACTAGAAGGCTGTGCAGCTATGACATACAACTATCTACTGGGGCTTCGGGGAAAAATTTTAAAAAAAAGGAGGAGGATTGGCAATAGATGTTAGCTCAGAGCCGGTCTTCCTCAGCAAAAAGAGGAGGATTAGTGTGGATGTTAGCTCAGGGCTGATCTTCCTCACCAAAAAAAAAAAAGGAACTTGGAATAGAAGCATTGTTTGTAATATATTTAGTGTATACATTTTGTATACGTTTTGAGAGAACAAAAATATATCTGGTAAAAATAATATATGCATAAATTAGAATTTTAGTCTGAGTCCATCATTTGTTATGATGTTTTTTTTCTTGAAATCTTTGTTTTATTTTTATTCTCTCTGTAATGACAACCCTAAAAACAACAAAACCATTTTCTACTAGGTAAGAAAATTCAGATAGTTGGTGAAATTTGAACATTTACTAGATATTTTCTGATATCAAGGAATTTTAAAGTATGATAATGGTATGTTTTTAAAAAGAGTTCTTATCTTTTAGAGATACATACTGAAGGATTTACAAATGATGATATGATGAAATGATATGCCTGGGTTTTGCTTCAAAACCAATCAGGGAAACGTGAGCCAGGAAGTAGTTAGGATGGAAAATGCGTGAGATATATTTAAAATAAGATTGGCCTTGAGTTGATAAAGCTACATGATAGGTACATAGAAGTTTATTATACTGTTCTCTCATAGTTTTGAGACATTAAACTTTCAGTTTTAGCTGATGATACAGATGTTAATTTTCAGGCTTTATGGCTGTGAGAGGTGATGAATTTATTGTTTCAGAAATAAATTGTTCTTTTAATTCTGCATTTTGTGTCTATTTTTACTTTGCTAAAACAGTCTTTTGTACTTTCTTAACAAATTGGCAATGTTATTGTTTTTCTTTTAACTCTGTATTTATAATGGAGTTCTAGTTAGAGCTTTTGATTTTGTAGCTCAGTATTCTCTACTGGTTAAAAAGCTGTTTTTGTACCTTATCTTTGAGTTCAAATAATAGGTGGTGGTGTTTTTGTCCATCTGCAGGCACATGTCTGGTTGTGTCTCTTTGTAAGGTTAGCAGCCGTTGGTGCTCAATGTCTAAGCCCATTAACTTAATAGGGTTTGGAAAATGATGCTATCATTCCTTCTTTTATTAGCTGAAATACTTCTATAAAGAGAAATTTCCCTTCATCTTTTTGGTTAGCCAGTGGTACAGTTTATATAGGAAAGGCAGAATAAATATTTGATTCTTTCCCTTACCAAGTTCAGAATAATGATTTGGTTTATTAGCATACTCCAGTCATGACCAATTAGGTATTGTTGTTTCTGTTTTTACTTTAATATGAACTCATGGATTTAGACATATTTGTGGTTTAAACCCATTTCAGTTATTATCCTTATTGATGTTCAATTTGTGCTATCATAGATATCACAGCCTGTGATAGCTTCCTTGCTATCTGATATGACAAGATGTTCCATGTTCAACATGTACATCTCTTGCCTCAGACACCAAATCAGTCATTTCTCCAAGGCATCCTAGTTCCTTTTGATGGTGCTATTTCAGAATCACAGTCTGGTTATTAAGAGTTCACCCTGCTACTGGATTGGTAACTGTTTCTAGGCCTTTTCAGTTGACAGAGGTAGGAATTTTTTCAAGGTAAAATATAATTATGTGTTGATACCATCTTTTTAAAAGACATTTTTAGTGGTATGCATTATCTAAAGCCAGAAAATAACTGAATGTCTTGTAAATCTCCCTACAGATCTTAAACTAGCTTATTTCAACTTTCTTATCAAATTGATCTTTGTGTTATAGATGGCAGGGAAGATTGCTCTGCTTAATTTCAAAAAGTGTAATTCTTCTGGAATTTTTTTTTCCTATTTATTTGCAGGTGGTAGGAAGCTATTAAATGTAGCAGAAAAAATAATGAGTTGACCATTTAGATGAGAACTGGTTTTGTAGCCTTAAGCAAAAAAAAAAAAAGAAAGAAAGAAAAGCAAATTGTCTTCTAAAAAAGCTGAATCTGAATTATATGGGGAAAAAAGTCCTGTTAACTTGTGAGCTTGGGGTATGAGGACTAAGGTTGTTAATCATGTGAGAATCCCAGCTTGGAATGCCATGACTAGATTTTTCTTTCAAGTATTGGCAGATGTCATAATCCTCTTCTGGGTGATCTAAAAAGTACAGTATTGATAACTTTAGGTAAGTTGGATTAATTTGTAACGAACACTTGGGGTGAGGTGCTCACCAATAATTTGGAAATGAGGGAAATTGGACTGTCATCTGCTGGTATACCTGAAGCCTATTGTTGAGATGCTAAGCCCAGGAGGCTGACCTTCAGAAACGCACTGGTTGCCAGGCAGCCATCAGCTAGATGATCCAGAGAGCCGCTTCTCGAGGCACTTGATGAGATTCTCATGCCAATCAGGCAGTACTCCTTACAATGAGGGACCTTCATGGGGACTCCACCTGGGGCACTGCTGCATCTTAGTGAGACTGCTGCCTTAGTTCTGTGAAATGATTTCTATACCTGCATTAAAAGAACTTGGCCATTCTGGGTTCCCTCTCTGCTAGTGCTAGAAAAACAGTACTCAAGTTTTCCTAAAAGGTACCCTTTTAGTTCTGATTACCTCAGCTTTCCATTTGCATTGGATAGTAGTAGCCTTAAAATTGCCTCAGAGAGAGAGTAGCTGGGTAAGCATTAGTTTCTACTTTAAAACCCTGTGGGGGAGACGTAGGGGGAGAAGTCAAGATGGCGGCAAATGGCAGTACGTACATACTTATCAATAGCTACTTTAAACGTCAATGGACTAAATGCCCCAATTAAGAGGCATAGATAGGGTGGCTGATTGGATAAAACACCAAGACCCGTATATATGCTGCATACAAGAGACACACTTCAGACCTACAGACGCTCACAAACTGAAAGTGAAGGGATGGAAAAAGATACTCTACACAAATGGCAATGAAAAGAAAGCTGGGGTAGCAGTACTCATATCAGACAAAATAGACTTTAAAACAAAGACTGTAAAAAGAGACAAGGGCATTACATAATGATCAAGGGAACAATCCAACAAGAGGATATAACACTTGTAAATATCTATGCACCCAATGTAGGTGCACCTAAATATATAAAGCAATTATTAACAGACATAAAAAGGATGACATGATTTTATATATAGAAAACCCTAAAGAATCCACCAGAAAACTTTTAGAAGTAATAAACGAATACGGTAAAGCTGCAGGATACAAAATCAACATACAAAAATCAGTTGCATTTCTATACACTAACAACAAAGTAGCAGAAAGAGAAATTAAGAATACAATCCCATTTACAATTGCAACAAAAAGAATAAAATACCTAGGAATAAACTTAACCAAAGAGGTGAAAGATCTGTACACCGAAAACTATAAAACATTGCTGAAAGAAATTGAAGACATAAAGAAATGGAAAGATATTCCGTGCTCTTGGATTGGAAGAATTAACATAGTTAAGATGTCCATACTTCCTAAAGTAATCTATAGATTCAATGCAATCCCTATCAAAGTTCCAACAACATTTTTCACAGAAATAGAACAAAGAATTCTAAAATTTATATGGAACAATAAAAGACCCCGAATATCTAAAGGAATCCTGAGAAAAAAGAACAAAGCTGGAGGTATCACACTCCCTGATTTCAAAATATACTACAAAGCTATAGTAACCAAAACAGCATGGTACTGGCACAAAAACACACACAGATCAATGGAATAGAATCGAAAGCCCAGAAATAAGCCCACACATCTATGGACAGCTAATCTTTGACAAAAGAGCCAAGAACATACAATGGAGAAAAGAAAGTCTCTTCAACAAATGGTGTTGGGAAAACTGGATAGCCATATGCAAAAAAATGAAAGTAGACCCTTACCTTACACCATATACAAAAATTAACTCCAAATGGATTAGAGACTTGAATGTAAGAACTGAAACTATGAAACTTCTAGAAGGAAACCTAGGCAGTACGCTCTTCGACATCGGTCATAGCAACATATTTTCAAGCACCATGTCTGACCGGGCAAGAGAAACAATAAAAAATAAACAAATGGGACTACATCAAACTGAAAAGCTTCTGCACAGCAAAGGAAACCATCAACAAAACGAAAAGACAACCTAACAATTGGGAGAAGATATTTGCAAACCATACATCTGATAAGGGGTTAATCTCCAAAATATATAAAGAACTCATGCATCTCAACAACAAAAAAACTAACAACCCAATTAAAAAATGAGCAAACGACCTGAACAGACATTTCTCCAAAGAAGATATACAGATGGCCAACAGACACATGAAAAGATGTTCAAAATCATTAACTATCAGGCAAATGCAAATCAAAACTACAATGAGATACCACCTCACGCCTGTCAGAATGGCTATAATTAACAAGACAGAAAACAATGTGTAGGAGAGGATGTGGAGAGAAGGGAACTCTCATACACTGCTGGTGGGAGTGCAAACTGGTGCAGCCACTATGGAAAACAGTATGGAGATTCCTCAAAAAATCAAGGATAGAACTACCATATGATCCAGCTATCCCACTGCTGGGTATTTATCCAAAGAACTTGAAAACACCAATGCGTAAAGATACATGCATCCCTGTGTTCATTGCAGCGTTATTCACAATAGCCAAGACTTGGAAGCAACGTAAGTGCCCATCAAGGGACGAATGGATAAAGATGTGGTATATATACACAATGGAATACTACTCAGCCATAAGAAACGATGAAATCCAGCCATTTGTGACAACATGGATGGACATTGAGGGTATTATGCAAAGTAAAATAAGTCAGAGGGAGAAGGTCAAATACCGTATGATTTCATTCATTAAGTAGTAGATCATAACAACAATAAACAAACACATAGAGACAGAGATTGGATTGGTGGTTAGCAGAGGGGAAGAGGGGGAGGGAGGAGGGCGAAAGGGATAATTCGGTACATGTGTGTGGTGGTGGGTTGTAATTAGTATTTGGGTGGTGAACATGATGTAATCTATGCAGAAATAGAAGTATAATGATGTACACCTGAAATTTATACAATGTTATAAACCAATGTTACTGCAATAAACAAATAATTAAAAATAAAAATAAAAAAATAAAAAAAAATCCCTGTGGTCCCTCCACCTGTCACCTCAGACCATTGGATCAGATTTCAGCTTCATATGTCTAGATGTTAATCTTTTTATTTTCCACTTAAAAAAGAAAACCCTTTATTGTGGAAAATTTAAAACTCATACAAAAGTAGACAGAAAGGTTAAAGACTCATCACTCAACTTCAATAATTATAAACTCAGGGCCAATCTCATTTCACTATACCTTCACCACTTCTCCTTCCCATATAATTTTGAAGCAAATCCCAGACTATGTATCATTTTATCAGTGTATAATTCAATTTGTTTCTAAAAGATAAGGACTTTTTACAAACATAATAATGATACTACCATTTTAAAAATGAACAGTAATTCCTTACTCAAATATCCACCTACTATTTAAATTTCCTAGATTGTCTCATGAAATTTTTTTGTAGGTTTGTTTAAATCAGGATCCAAATAAGATCCATACATTGTAATTGGTTGATATATAGCTCTTATTTATAGCCCTTACCTTTTTTTTACTCTAGCCATTCCTCCTCCATCTTGTTTTTTTTTTTCTTGCAGAGATTTTATTGAAGAAACTGGGTTGTTTTAGACATTTAATCTTGGGTATTCTCTGTCAATAAATTTTACTCTATTTTTGATGAGGTATTAAAATAAACCAGTAACCCTTTCTATTAAACAAAATTGTTGACATACTTTTCAGAGAGGGGAAGCTAAGCAGAAATTCTTTCTTCTTCTTTGATAGGTAAATTAACTCAAATTGCGTAATAATTTTTCTTTCATAAGTTTATTGAATCATCTTTGTCATAAAATTTGCTTTAAGGTTTATACATTTTATGTATATTTAATCTGAAAGTAGTTTGTTCATTTATTTATTTATTTATTTGTAGCCATTGGAAAAGAAGTTTGTCCGAGTTTCAGGAGAAGCAACTATTGGGCATGTAGAAAAATTCCTCAGAAGAAAGATGGGTCTTGATCCAGCTTGCCAGGTAGAGTACATGTATATAAAGGGACAGGTGAAGTTGTGAGATTACCTTTAGCATATTGAATAAAGAACTGTCTCTAGGATTTTATGCAGTGGCTTTTGTCTTATGATATTGTGGATACTGTAAATACTAACTGAATATTGGTACACAGTGATTCCCACCCCCAACTTTAATCACATTTGACTTACCATCTGTTTCTTGGTGCCATTGAAGAAACGTGTGTCATCTATCGGTGTCAGAAAAAAGCTGAAGATACGAGAACTACCGAAGAGCTTCTAGAGCCCGAAGAGCTCAGTTCCAGCTCTTTCCTCTTTGGTAGGAGAGCAAAACATTACTTAACATCCATCTGCTTCTTCAGAGGACATCCTTGCATTTATTAGTTGCTCAAGTGTAACAAGCTAGCTCAAGACACCTAGAATATTTCACTTTTCTATGAAATATCTATCTAATATAGACCCTGTTAGTTTTTTAAGGATTGAAAAGATCTCCCATTCTAGCTATATAATGTTTTTGTGTTGTGGTGGGATGGAAACCTCAAATCTCATGTATTGTTAACATAAAGTGTAAGTATACTCATAATTCTAGTGATGTGGGCCAGTGAAAATATACATTTATATAGGTTTGCTTTTTCATTAGACAGATTTAGAAGGGATTTTTGTTTCTCCCTGTGTAAAATTTCATGAACTAATTTTTATCTAAAGCACCTATTTGCTATTGACTAAATTAATAGATATTTTAAAGCTGGCTGAAATTTTGCTTGTGTTTTCAGTACCAATATCTACTGGTACTGAATATATATTAAATCCAATGAAATGTGACTTGTCTTACTGAGCTTGACATAATGCTGGCTGTCTCTCATGGCAACTGAAAACTGGAGATGTCTTGTCTATCACCTTGTAGCCATAGCATAGTTGAGGTTATTCTCAGTCTTTGGTTAGACATAGAAAGCTGTTTAGAGACTCCTGGATAAAGAATTGTGAATGATCCCGTAACAGTCTATTATTTTATTTATTTATTTATTTTTTGGTGAGGAAGATCTGCCCTGAGCTAACATCCATTGCCAATCCTCCTCTTTTTGCTTGAGGAATATTGTCCATGAGCTAACACCTGTGCCAGTCTTCCTCTATTTTTTGTATGTGGTTTGCCGCCACAGCGTGGCTTGATGAGTGGTGCAGGTCTGTGCCTGGGCAAGCCACGAGCCCCCGACCACCGAAGCGGAGCGCGCAAACTTAACCACTATGCCACCAGGCCAGCCACTATGTCTTTTTTTTTTTTTTTTTTTTTTTTTT